ACACACACACACACACACACACACACACACACTTGTGTGCTATTAGACACACCAGCACACCTGCTGGTCTTTAACAGAAGCCGTGCTCTATTCCAGTATGTGAAGATGAAAAGAGAAGTGGAGGGCAGAGATGGACAGGAGGAAGAGGAGGAGACATGAGGAAGCTGGGAAGGACAAAGAAAGATGGTAGATTAACAGGAAGTATAGTATATAAGGGGGGGGGGTGCTCAGAGAAATAATGATTAGCTCCTCACGCGCCCTCCTCTTCTACCTTCTTTTTCTCTTTTTGGACGGTTGTGTGGAGGTATCACAGCGTGGTGGAATTCAAAAGATAAAAAAAGAGTAGGCAACTGATAGACACGAGCAGCGCAGGCTGTCGAGCTCAGTGACAGTCACACAACGCCGCACACACACACACACACACAGGTTTGCGATTCTGCGATCCCTCGTTGCCTGTTGTTATTCCATCTCCTATTTACATATAGTTAATAAATGTGAAGTGAGGCCAGAGAAATGACGGGGAAGAAGAGGTGGAGAAAAACACAATGTCAAAGGAACTGTTTCGGCAGCCAGGGAGTTGGGCATGCTGCATGTTGGAGAATTCAAATGTACTGGTGCTGGATCCACACCACATCACTCAACATGTGTGCTCCTCAGAGAGATGATGAAATTTAAGTCACATGGAATGTACAACTGTACGTGGGCAAGTGAAGGCAACCTGTTAGCCATGCAGTGATTTTAGAGATTATGAGTACTATTTTCACAGTACTGTTGTGTGCTTGTGTGATCACGGTGCTGCTAACAAATGTACACAGAGTACCCTACACACTAGGGTTGGTTTACATTGGAATGAGCGCTGGCCTAGAAAGAGGAGGTGGTCTCAGAACAGAAGTGAACCCTTGGCGGCTTGGTAGTATTTGTCGACGCCTGTTCAAACTGACATGTTCCTTAATAACATGGCGAGTTAGCATCCAGAACAGTGCTTCTTGACCTTGTTGGAGGTACTGAACCCCACCAGTTTCATATGCGCAGTCACCAAACCCTTCAGTGATCCGGGGGGGGGGGGGGGCATCACGAATCGTTTGATTGATTTGTCTTGTCCCTTCGATCGAACGCAGGTTAAGAACCACTGATCCAGAGTAATGGTAAAATGGACAGGAGTCGGAATGCTCCTACAGTGATGGAACCCAAATGGAACATTTCAGGAACTTTTAAAAACCTAATGAATTATAGTATCTGTCATTAACAGTTCTAAGAATTTCATCCAGACTGCAAACTGAGAAACAACCATTGTCTTATTACTGCGAATGCAACCAGTGGGAGGAAGTTGGCAAGACGGTCATGAAAGTCAGTGCTGGTAGCAAGTTGTATTTAGTAAATGACTTGTGTGGGATATATTAAATAGACTTTTAATTCCAGTAGAAGCATTTTGGATCACCCTGACCTCTCTCCCTCCCTCCCTCCCTCCCTTTGTCTCTCACTCTGTCTTTCCTTCTCTCTGTCTCATTAATCAGACCCAGTTGAAGCTAAGAGAGAATTTGAAATCTAATGGATGTAGTGAAGCGGGGAGGTGGGTCTGCGGGAAAAGTGGTGTCTAAACCTGTGTTAATTGAACAGCTGTACCTTGTTAAACATTAACTGAAAATTAATCAGCTGACACCACCGCTCACCTCCATTCACTCGAAAGAGACAGAGAGAGATAGTAATAATTGTTTGCAGCAATTCTCATTCCACCTCAGGCTCCTGTTGCCTCTCCTTGCCTCCACTCCACCCCATCTCCTCAGCTTTTCACCCATCCTCTCCCTCTCTCCTTTCAGCCCATTAATCTAGTTTTCTGCCTTTACATCCGCTTCCTGCCCCACATCCGTCTGTAGTTCATCTAAAGATGGAAAAGGGAGGGAGTGAAAGAAAGATGTCAAAGAAAGGAGGAAGTGCCGGGGGGGAGGAATGGTTGCTGGATGAGCACGGGGGAGAAAGGAGCTTTTCTATTTTCAAAGAACAGTGCAGGAGAGGATTATTAACTGTTTCATTTTACATTTTCCTTTGAAAAAATATTCCACTCGTGCCATAATGCAGAGTATGAGATTTTGTATAATGAAGAAACTGTTGATTTAGAGCCATCACTATATTCCCAACAGTCAATCCACTGATCTTTGCTCTAATACGCAGTTGATTAACATGATTCGTCTCAAATACAGATATCGTATTTCTCCTATTCATAAAAGTCACGATTAATCGTGATCATAGTCACTTATGTTCTAAATCCACGGTTACTCTTTGATTATCCAGATAAAACATTTTGATCATGTGACAGCCATCAGTTATAGCAATGTTTCCTTAACCTTTTTTTCTGCAGACCCATATTCTAATATATAAACATGATGTGAGACGACCCAAAAAACAATCTCTTGCGACCCACCTGAGGGCCGCGACCCAATCTTTGGGAAACAATGATTTATAGTAATCATAATAACGTTGGTTTGGTTTAGCCAGTATTAACCTGACTCTTATTCAAAGTTCTCAGCTGACGTCTTTGTATTACCACAAGTACTTTGAAGAGAAACTTCAGACTGTCTAATTAAATATTTGAACAAAGTACAACTTTATGTTATGTTTGGGTAGCTAATATGGACCTATGGAATAATGTGACTGATGTGTGAAATGCTATGTACTGTATGTGGCTGCAGGTGCTCCCTCAGTGTGTGTGAGTGTTTGCTGTGAAGACAGTTTTTCTGTTACTACAGATTCTATCTACTAGTTAAACCTGCTTTGCCCCCCTTCCACTTCCTGCCCATGTGTCACTATTTGTTCCTATTATTGTCTTTTTCTTCTACTGTCTTCGTCCACTGAGGATTTTTCATGCCACTCGCTTTATCTGTCACTTTGGCTGCGTCCAGGAAGTCCTGGCTCTTCCTCAACTTTTCTTTGTTTCCACCTGTTCATTCTCCATTACCCACCAACCCCCTCACACACACACACACACCTCGCCCCTCTCACTCTGTCTGGGCACCAAGTCAAACATTACAAATGTTACTGCTTACTGGCGAGGGCCCAGCTCAGCAAGGCAATAAATCAATACAGTAAGAGAATTATGTAATGTAGCAGCATATCGACTAGCCTTCTCCCCCTGGTAGTTACCTCTTCTACTCCCTGTACTTTTTTTTTTTTTATCGACTGTATCTTGTTCTTTTTCCTCACTTTTTGTTTCTACCTTCAGTGCTATTTTAAACCAATTAGTCGTTAATGTTGTATTTACAGTCTTAGCCTTTGGCCAGGGGGATGCTGGTTATCGCTGTCTTGAACACCAGATTCCAGTTAGGAACCTGAATTGAAGTTGTTACTGTCGTCAAAGTCATGCTGTGTTATCAAAAGGAAAATCAGTTACAAATCAATACCGCTGTTTTTTCACAACATCGAGAATGCAAGATACCGGTTCAAACCAAAAGGTCGAACCACATCCAGTCTCTTCCTTCTCATGAAACGTGTATATGTACAACTACTGATGCTGAGCTCTGATGAGGGCTTCTCTGTTATATTTGTTCAAATAAAAACTCTCTAATT